GTGCTGGTCACACTGAGGTAGGATAGTAGGGACAGGGGGTGCTTGTAGTGTTAATGTGGGAATGGGTAGGGTAGGTGGCCTATCCTGTCAGGACAGCCATTGGCTGCCGCTGCAGCAATCACCTTTTAATCTTCTTCTTCTTCTTCTTCTTCTTCTTCTTCTTCTTCTAATCTTCTTCTTCTTCTTCTTCTTCTTCTTCTTCTTCTTTTGATCTTCTTCTTCTTCTTCTTCTTCTTCTTCTTCTTCTTCTTCTTTTAATCTTCTTCTTCTTTTAATCTTCTTCTTTTAATCTTCTTCTTCTTCTTCTTCTTCTTCTTCTTCTTCTTCTTCGTCGTCGTCGTCGTCGTCGTCGTCTTCTTCCTCTTCGTCTTCTTCGTCTTGTTCTTCTTCTTCTTCTTCTTCTTCTTCTTCTTCTTCTTCTTCTTCTTCTTTCCTCCTCCTCCTCCTCCTCCTCGTCCTCCTCTTCTCCTCCCTTTCTTTCCCTCAGCATTATCACCTATCATTATGCCTGATGCCAACACCATATTGCAGACGCAGCAAAAAAATGCTTCAGCGTCTAGCTGTCTTTCTTGTTTCTCAGTACGCCAACCACGGCGCGATCTCATGCACAAAACATATGGTCACTGTGAAATGACATGTGGTGACAACACTTGGCCCTGCGCACAGCTATCTTAAAAAAACAAACAACGAAAACCGACCTCATTGACCTGGTTCACAGCTATCCATCATGCGTTCGATTCTGAATTACTCTGTAGTTTCCCATCATGTTTTACTTTTTTCTTTCTTTTTTTTCACATCATGTTTGAGTTTCATATGATTGAAGAGTCCTAACCAAAAGTGATAAGCACAGCTACCGTCTTCACCATCCGAATAGAACGCCTGGGAACGCTTCCTGCATCTGGAATGAAAGTAGCCTCAAATACAGCTATAATGATCGGACATTCTATTCAGGTGAAGATCGTATGAACCGATCGATCGGTGTGCACACTCAGACGTCATCCAATAACGACCCTTCTTCCCCCGAATAGAAGGTATGGTCATTTCTTCTGGACTAAAAGGTGAGCCAAATACGGCTTTTCGGGTGAAGACGGTACCTTTTCCAGGTTATATCATTGCTAGCAAATGCCTATCTATTCATCGTTCGCTGACTCACTCCAAAAAAGGAAACAAGAAAAAAGCTCGGCTACCAGATAATTTGCAAAATACCCCCATAAGTTGAGATATATGCCAAAATGCCCCTGAAACATGTGGGTAGAGCGGAATGCCCTTTTGGGCCGAAATCTTTGTTTGTGCCCCTGCCAGGCAGGTCTGCAACTTTGCAATCGGGACCTCCCCGTTTGGGCCTTGGCCTTTTGCAATAGCGCCTACGAAAAGCTGGCAAGTACTGGGGCATTTTGCAAAGTTGGACTGTACCCGGTAGGGGTATATTGCAAAGATGGGGGTCCAACCGACGCCAGGGGTATTTCACAAAATATTGTTTTTGTCAGAGGGGCATTCTGATCTACCCACATCTTTTAGGGGCATTTTGCATCTATCACAACTTCTGGGGGAATTTTGCAAATTATGCCTTTTATTTTTTATTTTATTTTAAATTTGGTACTTCCATATGGCAAATCCGTACTTCATCAGAGCTTCCAAATCAACGCATTGTGTCGTGATTAATTCATTACCGTTGACGCCCATAACAAACAGGTCTACAAAAATCGGATGCAGAATAATGCTGTTCAAAGTTCCAACCTAAAGTTAAAGTTGCTGCAAGATACAGGCCGCTAAGATCTATCTTATGTTCTGCAGCTAAGGCCTACCTTATCTATCTTCTGTAGCAAAGATGTATCTTCTGTTCATTCAGATCTATATATATTTTTTGACAAACTGTTTGGTTGGAGTTTCACAGACTCATCAGGAGGCTCACACCCCATCAGAAGCCAGCAAAAAACACCGACGAAACAAAAAAAGGTCTGTCACAGCCAAAAAATACACTCCAGACACGCCGCTGGCACTAGAGGCACAGCACGGCCGAGTAGGGACGGCCCCGACCACTGCCGCTTGACCTGACCAGAGAAAACCGTAGCACGGTGCTAGCGAAGTCGTGGTACATATATATATATATATATATATATCGTCAAATAGAACTATATATCGTCAAATAGAACTGCCCGGTAAACCGTAGGCAGAGAGGGAGAAGAGGACAAC